TCTTTCCTTTGCCAGTCTATTTTGGGATCCCCTTTATTCTGCGTCCCTGGTCGCTAGTTGTATTTCATTTGAACAGCACCATCAGCACTGCCCACCGCCTGCTTCTCTCCATCATCCTGTGATTCCACTGTCCACTTTCTGCATTTCAGTTCACGCGGGAAAGAGAAAGGGGGCTTGAGAGGCGGGGGAGCTGCAGAGATGTCGTGTAATATGTGTTTAGCCTGCGCTGTCTCGGTCGCGGCGCCCGAGCGGGCTCCCCCGCCGTTTCGCTCGCGCAGCCGGGCCTGGCGGTGGCGCCTTGAGCCGTGTCCCCCTCGTAACCCTCTCGCCCGGCAGCCGGCGAGCTGTTTATACAGCTTTACCTGTGCTATTCTCGTATCCAGTAGAAATCCTCGCTCGGCCACGGTAACATAATCCGAGGGCCGAGGCAGGGAAGGGGGTGGCGAGGCGTGCTTGGTGAAGGGCGAGGTGTGTACGCGCGAGAAGGGGGTTCTCTCCTTTGCCCCTCCTACCCCGATGGCGAAGGAAACTGGGCTGGTTCGGGTGATCGAGGTGGGGGTCCGAGGGCTAAGAAGGAAGGAGGCCGTTTTCCACGTCCCTCTCCTCTTTGCTTTTCTCCCTCTAACAGGTAATCGGGGACCCGAGCCGGACGCGTGCTGCCTGTGGGCGCGGCGGTTCAGGGGGCGCCCCGCGGGGCTAGCGAGACCCGGGACGGGATCCTTCCAGTCCAGGACCTGGGTGAAAGCTCTCACTCCGCTTTCAACTTGCCCCTGGAGAACTCCCACATCTAAGACTAGACTGGCAAGGCAGGGAGCCGGCACTTAAACCAGATCTTCCCTCCAGGGCCAGCCACTTCTTCCAGAGCGCCGCAGCCGGCGCACGGAATCGAATTAAACGCCTCTTGGCGCTTATTGTCTCTCGCTAATTGCTCCAACAATGGCCACTATAAAAATGGAGACACCCAATTAAAGGCCTCGCCGGACCGTGCTGGGCTCCCGGCGACGAACTGGCCACCGGCCTGGGGCTTGCAGACCGCCTGGGCGCGAACGGGACTGGTGCGGGGCGCTGGCGCCAGCCTCGGCACCTCTGGCCTCCACTTCCTCCCCAGACGCACAACGATCGCGGTCGGTTCACACTATTTTTATTGACCGATCGCAGCCCAGGAAGATTGATCGAGCTGGAAAGGACTTCTCCTCCCCCAGCCCCAGCTCGCCAGGGCCTAAGGGCCGCACTGCAGTTTTTGGTCTTTGCTGCGGCTCTGCGCCCTCCCTGCCCCCCAGCCCCGCAGGTTCCCAGCTTCATTTCTGTCTTCAACGGCTCGGCCGGGTCCGCCCAAGCCGGCGCCGCGGCTCCGGGGGGAGGGACGCGGCGGCGCGGCCGAGCTCCGCTTCTTTCTCTCGCTTGCAAATATTTGCTGCCTCGCTGGAAATCCGACTATTTCGCGCGCGCTCCGCTTGCAAAGTCCTTAAGTAAACACGCTCAAATGACCGCCCCAGGCGGCCCGAGGCACGCTCACTCCCCCTGCACGGGATTAGTAACTTTATGACTTCGACCCCGAGGCTCGGCTTTTCTGGTTACCCTCGGCGGGCCGCGCGCGAGCGCCCGGGGCCGCTCTCCAGACACCTCGGCCCCGCGGAGCTCGCCTGAACGCGCCTGTCGCCAGGCTCGGGTGGGTGACGCTGGCCGCGTGGATCTCCACTCTCTGGGTCCTGCGACCCTAGGGGTGAGCCGGGGGGGGGGGGGCGGGGGACACGCTCCTCCTCTCTACGCCACGGGCTCTGTCTTCTTTGCGGGATTGGGTTCCCCACTTGCATCCGATGAGAGCGTCTGAGCTCCCGGGAGGGTGGGTGGGAGGGACCTCAGCTGGGGGGCATGTGTTTGGGAGTGTATGTGTGTGTGTGTGTTGTGTGTGTGGGTCCCCGCTTACCCCGACCGAGGAGAGAAAGGAAGGCTCCATTTCTTACCCTTTCCCCAAGAGGGCACACACACCCCGCTCAACTTGACGCCTGAAGCAGCCGCCTCGAGGCCTGGCGTTTCAGATAGGCCAACCGGCTCCCGCCGCCCCACGCTCAGCCCGGGTACCGGTTCCGGGCGACCGGGGATGGGCGGTAGCCGCGCAGTCGCCGCCTCGGATCCGGGATGCTCGCCCCAGGGGTCCCAGGCATCCAGACCTCGGCTAGACCCTTGCCCTGGAGAGGGAGGCCTAGCGCTCTGCAGGAGCCCAGGGCCCTGCTGCGGCGGCGGCGGCAGCATCCTTTTAGGTCTCCACCTCGCTTCCCTGACCCGAGCTCCCCCGGCCGCTCCGGGGGAGGAGAGGAGGGACGGGGGCTCTCTAGACCGGCCCTGGTCGGGGTCCTGGGTGGGAGCCCCCGGGAGGGGGAGCATGGTGGGGCGGGGGGGCGGGGGGCTTCAGATCTGCAGGAGGGCGATGAGGCGTTCCCCCAGGAGGCTGGGATTAGCTTTGCGGGCTAGGGCAGAGGGGGGCTCAGTGCCACCTTTTCTTCCCATCACCCGGCCTCGAGCCCCCACGCTCCCCCCGCCCGCCCTCAGAGGAGGAAGCCCGGCTTGCATTTGCCCGCGAGGCGGGTCAGGCAGGCGCCGGGCCTGGCCTAGACTCCCGCAGCCCGGCTCTCCGCCTCAGGCCACGCGCCGCAGCCTCTCTCTGGCCTGGCTCCCTTCCCCCTTCCTTCCGCGTGGGTCCCGGGGCCGACCTCGGCCCTCCCAGCTCGGTAGCCCCCTCCTCTCCTTTTCCCTCCCCCCAGCTCTGTGCTCCTGGCTCTGGGGTTGGGCCCGTGACGTCAAACCCAGTGTGGCGTCGGCGAGACTGGCCGGCGCGGGCCATCAAAAGAGCAACGTCCTCTTTCCCAATTACCCACTGTCAGTCCGGGAACAGGGGCGGACCGGCTGGGAATTAAATGTTAAATACCCCCTACAGGCTGGCTCCATTACACCGGGCACCCAGCCGCAGCCCCCCACCCCTCTCTGCCAGCTCCAAACCACCCAGACCAAGAAGGGGCCTTCGAGATCTTTTCTTTTTCCAAGGGTTGGGGGTGGCTCTTCAGGTCAGTGCAGCCAGACTTGGTGCTCGTGATTTAATTAAAATGAATAATGCCTCCCCCCAAAGTTTGAGCGTTATCAGAGGCGCCACTACACCGGAAGGCCTCCTTCTCAGGGATATTTTCTCTTTGTCTTTTAAAATCGGCTTTAGCCTCTGAAGTTAACGTTTTCAAGTCCTGGCGTCAGCAGCGTCTCTTTCAGAGGATGGGTCCCTTTTATTTCCTGGACTTTTAGGTCTCGGCGCAGAGGACCAAAGAGCTCCGTTTGGTATTTTCCGCGTGGCTTTGAACTGGGGTCCGGCTAGTGTCGGAGGGTCCGAGATCAACGCGCAAAGATGCGCTTTTCTTTCTTTCTTTTTTTTTTTTCCCCCAGCCTCTGCAACGATCCTTAAACTGAATCTCGAGACTTTAAGCAACAATGTGTATGTGTCCGTCTGTCCTTGTTTATGGAGCGGTTTCCGGTGAATGTTAGACAGAAACTAAATAATTAAAAGGTTTGGAGAGCGCAGTGAGCAGGAGAGGCTGGCAGCTTGACTGGCCCTAGAGAGACGTGGTCAGAAGGAAGGAAAATCGATGCTCCTTTACTGGGCCGCCCTAATAAGCAGGGACTAAGTGGGCTCAGGAGAAACATGGGGAGGGGGGTTAATTTAGGGAATTTCTTACCGTTCCGTATCTAGAAACTCAAGATGATGTTTCTAACAAACACCTAACAAACATCAGATTTAAGAAAACGGAGACTCAAGAAAACTTCCACCTCAGGAGGACCCGTGTTTCCACTGTTTCTTCCAAATGAAGTTTGTTAGTCTTTCTACGAGGATTGTGAATTAAAGCAGGACACCCCGCACCCACCCCCCAACACACACCAAGTTAAGGCTGATTATGGATGGTTTTCTTTCACCGCAAGGGATCCTCTAGCACCTACTTTCAGGGACGGTCTCATCTATGTTGACTTTTTTGGGGTGTATTTGTAGGGAATTGTTGCGGGGTAGAGAAGCGAAGAGGGAATAATGCCTTCCAATTGAGCCCCAAATCAAACTGTCAGTACCGTCCGTGGGAAAGCCTGCGGGAGAACCCACGCTCTCTCCTTGCACACAGTGCCCTGAGAGCCGCGGGTGGAGCCTTGAGACTTCGCTTCCCGCCCGACGCTAGCACACCCGGGCTGCGTTTTGGGGCCGGACGGCTGCAGCAGCCCGAGCGCCGCTAGGGGATGCAGTGGCTCAAAGCACCGAGACCCGCCGGGGAGGCTGCAGCCCGCGGGGCCGGCCAATCGCGGCCGCGCCGCAGCCTAGCGCGCTGATTGGCCCCTTTCCGGCCCCGCCCCGGGCGCCCCGCCCCGCCCGTTCGTCGGGCTGTCTCTGATCTCCGCTGCCTCCGCCCGAGGCTGCGAGGCCGGACCCAGCGAGTCCCGCGAGCTGCGGGGCCCCGGGGAGGTCGCCGCAGTCCTGCCCGGCGGCCCGGGTGGGGGCCGCAGGAGGGGGCTGGGGAAAAACGCCGGGAGCGGGAGTAAATAGGGCTCTAGGCGGGGAGGAGGGAACAAGTTGGGTAACCGGAGCAAAGACCCGAGTGCTTGGGGAGCCAAAGATTCTCGCCTCCCCCACTTTCATCCATCAGTATTGTCACTCTGGTCAAAAGCACGCATTGATTACGAATATTAGGTCTGTAAGGGACAGCTGCAACAGCTGAGACATTCTTGCCAGAGGCTTGTGAACGCCACAGGCTGGGAGAATGTTGACCACGACCACCAAAAAGTTGCCACCGACATTTCAATGAAAGGCACATTCCGCGCCCCCAACCCTCCCCCGCCCCCCTCCCCAGTTCCTCAATTTCTTAGGCAGTTCTCTAGAGACGCATATCTCCATGTACTCTGATATTACTTTTTTTTTTCCTGACCACTTTTACTTGCAGAGACCCCACATCCATAAACGACCCAATACCTTGGAATGGATGCCAAAAAAAGTTTGCTCATATAAAAAGTCTGAAAAAGAACGGCTGTCTGTAGAAATAAACTTCATGAATGGGGCAGACCGGTGTCCCCGGCACGGAATAATCCTTCGAGCCGGAATGAATTGGCAGGAGCCGGAGCCACATTTAAAGGGCCAGAGCGCGTATTCCCTCCTGCCCGCCCCCTCCGCCCCGAAGCCCCTGGAGCGCCTCGCCCACCCTCTCCGCCGCCCCTCCGCCCGGGCCGCCCTCCTAGGCGCCCCTTTCCGGTCAGTGGAGGGGCGGGAGGAGAGGTGGGGGTGGGGGTGAAGTCCTGAGCGGGTTTGGGTTGCAGTTTCCTTGTGCTGGGATCCTGTCCCCTCCTCGCCAGCGCCAGGCTCCTCCCCCGGCGGCGCGGATGACACTAGAACCTCCTTAAGTTCCGTCGCGCCACAGCTGTCTGCGAACACTGAGCTGCCTGGCGCCGTCTTGATACTTTCAGAAAGAATGCATTCCCTGTAAAAAAAAAAAAAAAAAAATAGAGAGGGAGAGAGAGAGGAAAAGAGAGAGAGAGGGACGGCGAGCGCGCGAGGCAGAGCGAGCCACGCAATCTGACCGGGCAGTTTCTGCTCTCCTGGTCGCACGCCTCCTTCTCCTCCCCTCTGCTCCTCGCTACCCAGGTTGGTACTGGCGACTTTTTTTTTTTTTAAACTTTGATTTGTTTTCTGTCTCCATTTGGGAGGACTTTAAAACACGGAAAACTCAACCCTTCTCTTTCGGAGAGTTTCTGGAGGCTGGAAAGTCGGTCCTGGGACCTGGGTCCCCGGAGGGAGGGAGCTGTCGTTCAAGTGGGAACCGCTCAGTCAGTCCCGGGATCCTGGGAGAGCCAGGCAGCTGGGGATGCGCTTTGGAGTCGTCGGGTCCTTCGCCGCCTCCCGATTTTCCGAGCTCCGGAGGGGGCGTGCGCGAGTGCGCGCGTGTTAGCGTGTCCCGGGGGCGCGGGCGCGGGGCAGGACGGCTCGGGGGGAGGAGGTGCCACTTCATAAACTCAGGTGCTAAGTACTTAGGATCTCATCCAGGTCTCCCCTTCTCTCCTTTGCAGGTGGCCCAGGAAAGGCTCAGTCGTGGAGCCGCCGAGGAGCCCCCGGTGCACAGGAGCCTCACTTGCAAAATTCTAGCCAGTCCTCGGCCCCCCTTTACAATTTGGTCCTTTTTTGTCCTCCCGTACCTAATTTTGGGAATTTTTTTTTCCTTCCTCTTCTCTTTGCTAAACTACCCAGCAAAGATTTATTAAAAAAACCCAAAAATCTCACTTGCTCACCTTTCCTTCCCAGCTTTCCCATTCCCCCACTGAAAACAAATCCTTAAACGACCCCCGCCCCTCCGACGGCAGGAGCACCTGCGGAGCCTCGGAGCCCCCGACCGCCCTCTCTCTCCGCGCGCGGGTTCCGGGCCCGGCGAGAGGGCGCGAGCGCAGCCGGGGCCATGGAGGTGACGGCGGACCAGCCGCGCTGGGTGAGCCATCACCACCCCGCGGTCCTCAACGGGCAGCACCCGGACACTCACCACCCGGGCCTCGGCCACTCCTACATGGACCCGGCGCAGTACCCTCTGCCCGAGGAGGTGGATGTACTTTTTAACATCGACGGTCAAGGCAACCACGTCCCGTCCTACTACGGAAACTCGGTGAGGGCCACGGTGCAGAGGTACCCTCCGACCCACCACGGTGAGTGCGCCCCAGGTGCGAGGACCCCCCTCCCCCGACCGGCTGTCCCGGCTCCCCGGGTTGGGGAGGCAGGGAGGGACCAGGGGGTGGGGAGAACCGGCTAAAGCCCCCCCCAAGTGCCGCTGCTGCTCCATTAAAAAAAACTGGGGCCCGGAAATGGGCGAGGAAGGCGTCTCGAACGTCGCTAGAGTCTGTTTTTCAAAACAGTCGCAGCAGGCGCCTTTGCGCGGCTGCGGCCCGGGGGCCTGGCGCTCACCTGGCGGGCGCCGCGCGGCAGCCCTTTCTCCCCGCGCCGCCGCGGCTTCGAGGGCCTCAGAGGTCCCGGGCGCGGGGAGAGCCGAACCTCCGCCTCCGCCGGTCTCCGCTCCCAGACTGGGCATCCGGCGCGGGCCAAACTTGGCTGGGGCTTGGTTCTTGGGGCTTCGCTCCCCTATTTAACCCGTGGTTCTCTCTCCGGGGCTGCTGCCGGCGTGCCTCGGTGTGTTTCTCCAGCACATTGCCAGAAGGGCCCAAGGAATGTATTTCTTCTCCTCGCTGTGTCTCGGCCTTTGCCTAAGACTAGTGCGTTTGGTTTTTAGGCATATCTCCGAACTCTAGGCTCCGAGGAAGGGAAGTCTGGTGCTTGACCAGGTTTTGGTGGAAAGACTACTATTTTAAGTATGAGACATTTGGGGTTTCCTAGATTCCCGCCTGCACAGAATTTTCCTGCGTCTATGCTCTTTGGTCGCCTCCTTGCCTGCTTCAGGCAACTCTCGCCTTTCTCTCTCCTCCTGCCTGCAACTGACCCTTAGGGTCTCAAAGAAGATCTAGGATCCTTCAGAGTTTCCTTCTGTGAATGCGATTCCAGTATTTCCTCTTTTCTTTCTCTTTTCATCTTGGGAAGTTCGGGAGACTAATGAAACGGTAAAGAGAACCCCAGCCCTATGTAGTTGAGGGGGAAAGCTCTCAAACCTTCCATCTGTAAGCGGGTTCCCAGAGGAAAAGTTAGGAGCAACATTTTAGGTGGAGGAACTGTGAGTTGCTCTCCTGGAGATCTGCCCTGGTTCCCCTGCTTAAATCTCAGGGTTGGGGCTGATGACAGAGCCCCTGCGGGAGCCGGCATTCTCACTCTGCTGTCACCAGGTTTTAAACAATTGTTTCTGCAGAGGGGGTGCTCTTTGCCCTCGTTCTGTGCAGATCAGCAGTTAAGTGGAAATGAGGTAAATGCAGCCTTAATATTATTTACTATACGACTTCCTGCATAATGTGAAGCGTGACCCTCCGTGTTCAGAGAACTCTCCTTCCCCCTTGTCTCCCCTCCCCTTCCTCTCTCTGAAGATTTTAGTTTCAGTATTGTTCTTAATGGTTAAATAGAATGTCAAACGCTGAGACAGGTACTGGATTAAAAGATCAATAAGTGTGTGGATTTGCACTTGCCGTTTAGACTTACCCCTCTCAGAGTGTCTTTTGGTCTGAGTTAGGGCTGCCTTATGGCTCTGTATTTTAAATGAGGGCTCAGTTTACTGCGTGTGAGCGAAATAGACACAGAAACTGGAATTTTGTGTCTCGGGGCTCAGGTGAAAATTCATGTATTACACTGGTGGAATCACAACCCTGGGGTTGAGATGGGCCTGTTTTTTTTTTTTTTTTAGTAGGATTTGGGAGGGTGACAAAGGCAGACAAAAGTGCCATCCCAGGGTCTAGCCTTGGGAACTTTCTCCAAAAGCCTGAGCAATTAATTTTCCTGCAAATCTCATTTCAGGCCTGGTCATTTATAAGCCAGCAGTGAAGTAGGGGTACATGGAAGTCACCCTAAAATGGCCCTTCTCCTCTCTTCCAAGACTTATCCTTCCTGCTCTGGGCCTGGGCTGCTGGGTCCGTGTGTTCTTCTGGTTTTGAGCGGTCCTGCAGCCGGGCTCACCCCTTTAGGCCTCATCCTTCACAGCCCACCCTCTTATCAGGCTGCCTGGGATTAGGTCTGGGCTGGGGGCTGCTGGGTCATTGAAGGAAACCGATAAATCAAGTCAGGTTCCAGAGAGGGCCCTCAGGGCTGTGATTTAGAAAGTGTATCTGGAGAGGCCAGGAAAGCCAGCGCCCCTTCTTGCTCCATCGCAGCAGGTCTCGAGGGTCAGACGCAGGCCCTTGATTCCCTGGATCTGGTGGGACCTTGGGATGGGAGACAGGGGGTGTGCTGGCCCGGGTACCGCTGGGGCCAGTCTGTGTTGAGGTTGTCCTGCTGCTGGGGAGGCAGGGGTGGAGGGCACGAACGCCCCGGCGCCTTTGGGGGCTGCTCTCACCTGCCCGTGTCTCTCTCTGGCCCCTTCCTTCCCCAACAGGGAGCCAGGTGTGCCGGCCGCCTCTGCTGCACGGATCCCTGCCCTGGCTGGACGGTGGCAAGGCCCTGGGCAGCCATCACACCGCTTCGCCCTGGAACCTCAGCCCCTTCTCCAAGACGTCCATCCACCACGGCTCCCCGGGGCCCCTGTCGGTCTACCCGCCGGCCTCATCCTCCTCCCTGTCGGCGGGGCACTCCAGCCCGCACCTCTTTACCTTCCCGCCCACCCCGCCGAAGGACGTATCCCCAGACCCATCCCTGTCCACCCCGGGCTCGGCCGGCTCGGGCCGCCAGGACGAGAAGGAGTGCATCAAGTACCAGGTGCCGCTGCCCGACGGCATGAAGCTGGAGTCGGCGCACCCCCGCGGCAGCATGGCTACCCTGGGAGGGGCTGCGGCCTCGGCCCACCACCCCATCACCACCTACCCGCCCTACGTCCCCGAGTACAGCTCCGGACTCTTCCCGCCCAGCAGCCTCCTCGGGGGCTCCCCCACCGGCTTCGGATGCAAGTCGAGGCCCAAGGCGAGATCCAGCACAGGTAGGAACTGTCTCTCCCCCAGAGACCCTTCCCCCTTGCCCCCCAGCCCCCTCCCCAGTCTGAAATCCCTGGCAGGGACGAGAGAGCCCGCCGTCCCAGTGCTTCCATGGGGAGAGGATGCAGTGTCTTGTCTCGGTCCTCTCTTCAGAGCAGAGGGCAAGTGGGATCTGGTTGAAAAGGCCCCTTAGAGCTGGACTAGGAACAAGATAAACAAAAACAAACCCCCATCTCCGGCTTGTCCTGCGGGGGTACTGGAGGGTGCTGGCGGTAACCTTTAGTCAGTTTGCAAGCCCAAATGGAAGGCGAGGGGATAAATCTTTGGTGTTTAATGCTAAAACGAAACCTCCTGAAACCCAAACAGAACAGGTCCCTCCTCTGACCGCCCTGGCCTCTGTGTCCTGGCTCTCCCCCTCCACTCAGCTCAGAGGGGCTCAGGCAGTCACCGGAGGACAACCCTTGACACAGACATGTATAAATAAAGTATGTGTATATTTTTCGTCGGGGGCGGGACCCTGGCAAAAGCCGGACACACGTTCTCTGCGTGGCAGAGGGGGCTCGAATCCTGACTTCTGGGTAGAGAGGGGAGCTCCGCCCTGGGGAAGCAGCTCAGTGAAGATCAGAAGGGCTTGTTACCTGCAGTATCTTCGGGTACTGGGAGCCCAGTACTAGGCAGGGGCAGGAAGGCATCTGACGAGCTACTCCCCGATTGATCTGAAGCCAGAGGGGTTAGGAGGGACGGAAAAAGATTCCCCAGGTGCCTGCCTCTGCGTCCTCTGCTCATTGCTCGCAGAAGAGGACCCTGCCCCTCTAAAATTGAGCTGCATGTGTATTTTCTTGGGGTAGAGGCTGGCATGAAAGGAAATGCTAAGCCCACACACAATATATGTTTTTTTGTTTTAAAAATAAAATAATCCACTACCCATGTTGAAGCAGCTGAATCAGAGTCAGGGGTTCTTTGAGATGCCTTTTCACTGTATTTTTTTTTTTTTCTTCGAGATGGTTTTGGGAAGATTGGCATGTCTCCTTGGGAAGTATCCATTTCAGGGTGGGCGTCTCGGTCCTGGTCTGTCCTAACTGCTAGCCACCCACCCCCCCTCCAGCCAGTCTCTCTATAGACTCTGTAGACACTGAAGTGGTGGAAATCGCTTGTCTTTTCTGGATGAGACAACCAGTCTTGAAACAGAGCTTGCAAAACCCGGGTTTAGAAAACTTCCGAGAGAGGGCTCTGGGCGCCCCAGTGACCATGAGATCAGTTTCCAGGGTTTTTTTTCCAGGGTGACATTCACTCCGACTGCCTGGGCAGGACTGTCTCTATTTAGTTGATATGTTTCAGCTAATCCAATTATTTTCAGACTGCTGCACGCGACAGTTGCATTGTTTATCCCGAGCCAGGAACTTCACTAGAGCCCGGATGCGGTTAGGCTGACAGAAAAACTCAGACCTGCATGTTCAGTACATGAAAGTCGGCCGAGGGAGAGGGAGGCGGTGGGAGGAAGGGAGGACAGGCAGGAAAGCGGGGAGCGGAGGGTCCCCGCCAAAGCGGGGAGGGGGAGGTTGTTGATCAAGGCTGGACGGCTGCTGGCAATAAGAGCCAAACCTGTGCAGTTTTGAGGTCAGGGTGGGATTTTTTTTTTTTTTTAAGTTCTCTTTTCTGGTGGGGCTGAAAAGTTGGGGGGAAGATCGTGGTCTCTGAGGCTGGGGTGGTGGTTTGTGGGGGGGGAGGGGACACAGTGACTTTCCCAAATGCCTTTGGTCCTCTGCCCTCATTTCGGAGTTTGATTCCCCCCGACCCCTGTCTCGCGCACCTTCTGCCTTTTCAGGTTTGCCTGTCTTTGTCACTTTCCTGGAGACTCAGGACATTGGGGAGGGGTGGGGGAGAGGGTTGCGGTTTCCCTAAACCAGAACCAGGGGCACCTATATACCTATTTTCTTTTTTTGGGGTTGGGGAGAGAGGAGAGGAGCCGATTTAAATTTGGCTTTTGACTTCCTCCTCCTTATTCCTTTCTCACAGTTTGAAAAAAAAAAAAAAATCCTGGGCTGCACACCTGGGCAGCAAGGGAGTTGGGACTTCTGGGAGTGCGGGGCGTGCAGGGGAAGTTTCCAGACTCCTAAGGAGGGTGGAAGGGGTGGGAATTCCTGAGAAGGGGACTCTCTTGGTTTTAGTGGTTGCTTTTTTTTTTTTTTTTTAATTTAACCTCTTCTTCGCAATCGCCTGAAGGAGGAGCCCAGAGAAGAGAGGGCTGTCGCATTTTGGAGAAACGGTTGAGCTGTGGTTTAGAGCACCTATTGCTTTTCTAACGCCCGGGCTGTTGGGCTGGGATGTGTCTTTGCAAACAAGAGACTTATAAGCCGTTTTTCTTCAGCAGGGGAGGGGGCACCAACTCTTAGCTTCCCCCCCTCCCCGTGCTCCCCTCTATGGTGGGGCATTCAACTCCCACCTTTTTCTTCTGCAATTTCCGTACCCCTTTCCGTCTAACTCCAGGCTCAGGCTTACAGTCAGAGGCCGAGGGGTGTCTGAAAATGGCTGTTGAATGCTAAGAGGCCTGCGGTTGTCACCTTAGCGTGAGGTGTCTGTCTGAGCAGCTCACACTAGGCAGTGAGCGCGGAGAAAGAGAGCAGGAGACAGTCAGGGCCTCCCTAAGGAAAACTGGTTGTTTGCTGAAGTCACAGATTAGAGGCAACAAGGAGAGAAGGGGAAAGAAAAAAAAGAGAGAAAACCAACGCGAGGCAATCGTGAACTTGCCGAGTGAATCAAGACAGAAAATTGCTCTAGTGTGCAGAGCCTCGCTGGAGAGGCAACCGTTGCCGGCTTTCAAAGTCCCTCAGAAAAGGAAGCTGTCATCCTCCCTGCCGCCTGACAAAGGAAAGGAAATCAGACTGATGGTGTCAGGCGGGGACACCCTCAGCCCAGGTGGCCCAGGTGCCCAGGAGCGGGGCGGTCCAGCCCGAGCTGCTAGTGATGGAGGAGGCTTGGGGTCCAGGAGACACCCCCAAAGGTCTGGGGGGTGAAACAGCATGGGGCCCGAGGCCCCTGTCTCTGCGGGTGGGAGAGTGGGCGTGGGCTGGGCCGGTGGGCACGGCTGCCCCCAGGAGAGGCTGGGCCCGTCCCGCGGAGGGCAGAAGGGCTGGGGGCCCCCGGCTGCCTGTGGCCGCTCCTCGCCCACTCGCCCTTCCCTCCTTCCTCTGCGCCTCCGCACCTTCAGCGGCCGCATCCCTCCGGCTTTTGACCCCAGAGCAGAGGCCTCTGCTTGTGACTCAGCCCAGAGCCTGCTGGGTGCCTTGCAAGCCCTCCTGGCCCGCTTAGGGCCATGCTCGTGTGGATCATCGCGGGGCTTCTTGGAAGGCTCTCTGTAGACCCCAGGTTAAGAATCTTTTTGGAACTGGGAGCAAGGAAAATGAAATCTCGTAACTCCTTCACATTTTTTTTTTTTTGAGAAAAGCAAAGTGGACAAAACTCAGCGTGCCTCCAGTTTGTAAAAGGAGGCCACAGCCACTTTCATTTCCAAAAGTCCGTTTCCTTCCTCAGAGCCCGCTCCTGGAGAAGAGCCCAGGCTCTGGGGTGTCCATTCCCTGCCACCCCTCATACTGGGTCTGGGGCTTTCCTAAACCTGAGCAGGGCCCGGGCCCTGGGCTGGCCTTGCCCTCCGGGGCAGTCGGTTCCCTCCCCAACCCCCACCCCGTCTTCCTGGTAGTTTGGGGTCAGCTGATTAATCTTTAAAAACAACTGTTAGGGGCTCATCTTTCTCCCCCACCATCCCCAAGCCTCCCCCCAGCGCCTGGGAGATCCTCCGGTTCTTGGAGGACCGGCTCCCGGTTGGGTCCCTCTGGGTGGGCTGTGAAGCTGGTGTGTCTTCCTCAGGAGACTGAGCCCCCCAGGAGTGGGGCACGTTCTCCCAGAAACCTTCTTCCTCTTCCTCCCCCTACAGAAGTTCGGAAGAGCTGGCAGGCAGTTCCTACAATAGCATCTGGAGGGCTTCCCCCTGGGGGCTTCCCCTGTGGGGCTTCCCCTCCGAAGGTGGGCCCGGTCACTCTCCAGCCCCTAGAGTGAGCATTGTTCCAACCCGGCCTGGCCGGTTTTCTTGTTGATTCTGTTTGTTTGTTTTTTTGGAAAAAGAGCAACTGCAGGCAGGCCTTGGTTAACGAGCCGAAGGGTCTCCCTTCCCCCTCCCCAAAGTGGCCCATCCTCCTGATCCTCTCCTCACCTCTTAACACTTCCCCTGATTCTGTCTCCCTCCCCCCATCTCCAGCTCCCTAGCCTTCGAGACGCCTCCGTGTGTCCCTCCAACCCTTCAGACTGGAGTCTCAGGGGCTGGGAACCCGCAGAAAACCTAGGCCTTTTCTGGAGAGTAAGAGAGATGGTGGGGAAGGAGTGGGCCCTACGGGGTCTTCATCTTTTCCTTGCTAGCCAGGGACGGTTACAGTTTTATTGGAAGTAAAACCTAAAGGCCTCGCTGCTAAAAATCAGTCAGCCAATTGATCCATCTGTTCATCTGTTTATTATCTGTTTTCTCGATCTAGCCATTGATGAATCTTTCCTTTGGCCTCATCCTGATCGTCATTATTTAATCAATCTGTATAGACAGACCTGGTGATGAGAATGGATCATCTTTGTTTTCCTCTGAGGGAAATGCAAGGAGCGTTTAGCTTTTGCCATTGTCCGGGGCTCAGGATTTTCTCAGGGAACTGTTTCAAGTTGAAATTCGCCTTCTTCCTGGGCTCTGCTTCATCTTCCCCATTGAGTGGGACCGCCCTGGACAGGTGTCTGTTGCTTCTGATTCCTGTGTCACTTCTTGGACCAGGAAGGGGTGTGTGTGTGTGTGTGTGTGTGTGTGTACCTGTGTGTGCCTGTGTGCACATGCATGTATGTGCACATGGGGAATCGTCAGGCCATGAGAGGGCTGTACATTCTTTTTCAAGGGAGCTGGAGGTGAGAAAGTTCCGCAAAAGAAGAAAAAGAGAGGAAAAAAAAAAAGTTATTTCTTCAGCTTTCATTCCCTAATTCTGCTGGCAGCTTTTTCATGTGTCTTCCTTCCATAAGTGACTCATGTGTGATGTTGTTTTCAGAAGGCCGGGAGTGTGTGAACTGCGGGGCGACATCCACCCCTCTCTGGCGACGAGACGGAACGGGGCATTACCTGTGTAATGCCTGCGGCCTCTACCACAAGATGAACGGACAGAACCGGCCCCTCATCAAGCCCAAGCGAAGGCTGGTGAGTTGTCCCTGGGGCAGCCCTGACCTGGCACTCTCCATTTTGTGTCTTTAATTTCCCCTTTTCAGAAAAGAGAGCTTTCTGCAGGAAATTGGCAGGACAGCTCAAAATTGTGTCAACTGGCTTGGGGAAGCTTTCCCCTCATCTTTGTTTTTTCTTTTTTTCAAATTAGACATACAGGGAAGTGTACTCTCTCTCTCTATCGCCCCCTCCATGGTTCTTAAGTCACCACATTTTTCAGGATGCTGACTTCTGGTTTATCAAATCTTGAATATCTTCGCTGGTAGAATGATTGCTTTAACGGGACTGGGGTGACTGATTGGAAGTGTGTTGATAGCCACAGTTTCACAGGGAAGGTTAGTAGGGGGGTGGAGGCTCCCCGGTGCCGCCCAGAACTTGTTTCTGGAGTCGTAGTAGGGGTCTTCCAGGAAGTCATGATGGCCTCAGTGCTGCCTTCGTGCCCCGGATGAGGTCTTATGTGGCCAGGGCTGTAAGATGAGTGGGGCTCATTAACTGCATTGCACAAGCAGTCGCCGGTGGCCTTGTGGAGCTTTTCTTCTTCCGAGGTCTGTGCAGTTGAGGAGTTCCCACAGGTCAACGCAGGGGAAACCTGATTTCTGTCCTGCTCCCTGGTCTCTCCTAGCGTCTAGTCCGATTTCCCCTTTGAACTCCCGCCAGCCCGTGACCGTTTCCTCTCTCCCCCTCTTTTTTCCCTGTCTTAAACCTCTTGACCCCTAGGAATACTTGAGAAAACCTGGCACAAGCAAGCACGGGTAAGGAAAACTAGCCGGAGAGGTTCGTTTGCAAACTTGTCTCTGGAACCTCAGGCCAGATTGAATAGCAAGTGTATGTAACAGACAAAAGCAGGCTTGGCAAATGATAACTCTAACCACAGTCAAGAGATCAAAATGCTTTTTGTGGTGATGACATTCACCAGGTGGAGAGGGGAGGAGGGGAATTTCCCCGTGCCGATGAATGGATGAAGTAGCATCCCTCAGATTGTGAGGTGGACCCCTCCAAATCCTCTGCATTTTTTTTTAAAGAATTATTTGTTTTCCTCATCAGATTTTAGTGCAAAAGACAACCTTTCACATCCTCTTCAGAAGAAGGAAAATCTTTCTAGGGATGGCCATGCCCATGTGACTTTAATTTTTGGCCATACTAGGTCTCCAGGCTTTATTCTTTCTGATCTTTGCCCACGTCTCCAGCTTTCACAACCTTCCCCTGACTTGTCCTCATGCTCTTTGGTACTTTTTTTTTTTTTTTCCTTTCTCTCATGTGCAAAGCTAACTTCCTAGGAAAAAGCTGCCGGATATCTGAGCTCTGGAGATAACTCATAAACAACAACTCAGCTTCCCCAACCTAAACATCAAGATGTTTGAACGTATCAGAACAAGACGTTGTTTGAAAAAAAAAAATGACTGGAGGTGTTAGTGCAGAATGAATATGATCACACCACAAAAGAATGTTCTGAATCACTCCAAACCTGGCCTTAGGAAAAAAAGAGAGAAGGAGGGGAAAAAGAAAAGAAAAAAAGGAAAGAAAACAAACAACAAAAACTTTCTTTTTGAAATAAATCCATGATATCATGATAATCGGGGTTCTTTTTAAAAGGTAAAGAAGAAATAAGAGCAGTAAAGTCTCAGACCCCGTGGTTGTTTGGTTGATGAACAAGAATGCATTTGACATTTTCTCGGGGTTTCTTCTGTCTGGGGTGGATTGCCTAGGAGGGCTAGACTTGCATTTTATATAGTTTTGTCTTCATTCACCTTTCGTAAGAAATCTCTAGAACTCTGAGTAATAATCGCTTTTAATTGTAGAGTTCCTTTGCTGTTACATGTGAAGCTGTCTTTTCTTTCTTACTCATCTCTTCTGGGTGGTTTTATATTTTTAGTTCCATAGAATTCATATGCTCCTGAGAGACACTGGGGATATATATGCATATATTTTCAGCACTTAGGTGTATTTGACTTCTGATATCTAGAACTTCTTTTTTTCTTTCCTGTATTTCCCTGTCTCTCCTTCCCACCTCTGTCTCTCCAGTTTGCAGTTTCTGCTTTGCGCATTTGCAGAGGTGCTGAAGACCACTCCACCCCTTGGTAGATGCATATCTAACACCAAATAAACTCAGGCCATGCTGAGGCCATGCTGGAAACAGGAGAAGGGAAGACCCATAGAAATTTTTTTCCTAGTGGTGGAGGATTTTCATAAATCTCTAGCTTGCTTTATTAATATACTTTGTCTTCTGCTAGTGAACCAAACAGTGTGACTTTCAGAGCTTCTGTATAAATTCACTGAAAGTCTGAGCTTGCTCAGGTTCATGATACCGTCAAGACCCTGCAAAGGGCTATACCACGAGCCTCATTACTCCGAGCTCTTATTTTGTTGGCTGGTGTTTTGTGCTTGAACCATCCCTTCCCAGTTGTTGGGCTGAGAAATTCAGTGCTTGAGTCTTAGTCTGTTAGTCTGTTATATCCAAATATTTCTTTTAAAGTGGAGAAAACCAGTCCAGGATGATAATTAATAATCATCGCATGGCATTTGATAATTGTCAAAATCCTTAAGCATCAATTTCATAACTTCATTTTCTTCCCCAAAGTATACAAGAACACCAGTTAAGTCTTAAACGATCATGTTTCATAAAGGCAGGTGGACAGAGGTTTGTGGAATGAGAGACAGCACTGTTGGTCCGCAGTGAGTTATTTTCCAAATGGACTACTCAAAAGTAGAACCTTCTCATATACGAGGGAGAAGGGCTGTGTTTCCTTTCTAGTTCCACAGAACACAAAAACTAAGAATTACTGGGGGAAAAAAAGTGCCATAGCTCTGGTATTTAAACCTGTAGAAAAGGGGAGCATCTCTGGGACAATTTAGTAGCTTTGAAAGGAGAGGAGTCAGCCTGGTTCATTCAGAATTGCCTCCGGGTTTTCCATATCTGGCCACTTTGAGTGTTTGGCTCAACTTCTTGCTGGATAAAATATTGATGGAAAATCTCACCCTGATCCCTGTCATTTTGTTCCATGCTCTCATAACCATGCCAAAATTTTCTTGATCACAGATAAAAAACAGCTAAATTCTTTCTCTTTCTCTTGCCTTTGATAATGTTTTTGAGTCCAGGGACAGAAATAATTTTGCAGTTGAAAATTTCTTTTCATGTTACAGGGAGTAGTGAGGAGATGAGAGGGGTTACCAGGGACCCACCTTTATTTTCTTTCAAGTTTTTGAGCTTAAGTTTTTTTTTTTTTCCAAGTATGGATGCAGGGAATAGTCCCCTAATGCATGTAAGTACATCAAAAAGTGAAAGAAAAATCTTCCTTTTAAAGGAAATGAAGGCCGTGACACAATCAAATAGTTAAAATTCTGCTTGGGACTGGCATCTGACCTATGACCATTTGGCTCTGTGAAGAGGTTATAGGAAACTTTCCAGGGAGTCAGATGAACTGAAGGCAGAAGTGGGGCCTGTCTTCCTGGTGGATTGCAGAAGTCCTTGTTCTTCATTAACCTAAAACCACTTAAAGAGGATGAAGGTGGCTCACCACATGTTGACATCTGAAAGCCTGGGCCGTGCACTTTTAGGATGGCTGCAGATGGGCTCGGTCTGGTTCACGTCGGATGTTCTGGTTCGGTGCTTTCTCTGTGGCCCACGCTGTGTGTGTCAGCCACATATGCACAGACATTCCCTCATAGTGTCAGCAGCCTGCTCTTCTTATCATCTAGCATTTCTTTACTTGGGATCTAGAAGGCACTTCTGATGCTTGGGTTTCCTCTTCCTTGGCTGTTAGTCTGTTGTGATGACCTGTATCCTTGTTGAGAGCTGTTACTCTGGGGAGTCGCTCTTCAAAAGGACCTCCTGGAGGCCTGGTGAAGAAAGCCACAGAGAGCCTGGTAGCCAAACATGTCTGGTTAACTCCAAAAATTATTGCAACCCATAAAAATGAAACATCTGAAATGTAGGAGGGGGGGTAGCTTGTGATTTAGAGAGATGGGATCAGCTTTCTGATCCTCCCAAATTCCTCACTCCGGGGGACAGCAGGCTACCTGCTGACCATCGGACCACGGTCTGATCTACTCCTAGGCCAGTGGGTCAGCTGTAATTTTCTTCCTGATGCAGCTTTTGGGGATCTTTATTACTTTCATGTGGGCCACTTGCTAGTTTTGAGTTCAGTGATAAGTTTTTTTAAAGTTGGTCTCCGTGGTTCTGCAAACCCATTTAACATTTGTTTTGATTTTTATCCTCCCCTCTCTACCCCCTCCCCAGTCGGCAGCAAGAAGGGCAGGTACGTCCTGTGCAAACTGTCAAACCACAACGACGACTCTGTGGAGAAGAAATGCCAATGGAGACCCTGTCTGCAATGCCTGCGGGCTCTACTACAAGCTGCACAATGTAAGCGTCCCGGGGTCCTGCCCCCCAGACAGCCTCGTGCGGGTGATGCACCGTGCATAGCATTCCCCTTCCCTGGTCCCCTTCTTGATTTCTTTTTAAAAAATGTCATTGGCAAGTAGTTGATGTGCAATGTTGTCTTAGTTTCAGGTATTCAGGAAAGTGATTCAGTTTTACATATACAGGTATCTATTCTTTTTCAGATCCTTTACCTGTATAGTTATTACAGAGTATTGAGTGGAGTGCCCTGGGCTCTACAGTAGGTCCTTGTTGAAGATCCATTTGAATCACCCAATGAGGAGCCTCAGAAAAATCATTGCAGTAGGATTCAGTGTGGGGAAGGACTGGGCACAGCAAAGCCTTGTCAAGACTCAAGGGTTTAAAATAGGTTGATCCCCCTCTCCGGGCAATAAAAGCCATCTCCCTCGAAAAAAAAAAAATAAGTAAATAAAATAAAATAGGTCGATCCAACCTCTTAGTTTGTATTGGAAACAGAATGTGTGGTGGAGCTGGTCTGGGTTTTTAAGGGGGAAAAAAAAAATCTTCCCCTTAGCAAACTGAAAAAAGTTGCCAGTCATATTTTGATGTTTTCTTGCATTTTAAACTTTTTGCAAAAAAAGAAAGAGTGTGCCAGAGAGTGGAAGAGAAAGGTAAATAGGATTGTAATGCATGATGCAGGAGTTCAGGGCGATTCAGTTACTGAGGGGTAGAGAGCTTGGCATAACCTGTGCTGTGAATTTTAAACAGATTCTCTGTATAAAAGATATGAGATGAAATGGCTGAGATAGTTCATCTGTTGAGTTTGTCCTCCCTGGGAGAACTCCCGCAAGGCAGCCTGTGGAGGTTATCCTTTCCAGGGAAAAGAATGCCTTTTTCCTTATAGATCATATTAGCAGAATGGTAATTGTTACTCAGTCTCATGGGTTTGGCCGTGTCAGTTTTGATCTTTCAATTTGGGGATCCTCCCATCTTGTATTATCTCTACCTTTAAAAAAAATTCAGCTATTATTTTTTTTCCCCTTATACAACTCTGGCTGACAGGCTGTGACTGTAATGAGGCCTGATGTTTATGTTAATCCCAGAGAAGGAATTTGTTCTCTCTTTCTGTCTCTGTCTGTCTCTCCCTGTCTCTCTCATATCATGTCTCTGGTTCCGTCTGGTTTTCCTGAAGTCTCTTGGCCAGTCTGGCTGGCAGAGTCTGGGAGTGAACTGGGGACACGCAGAGGGGTTTGCTCAGAGCCATCCTGACAGTCAGCGAGTCTTACCCAGAGACGTGAACTGCGAGGAAGATTTGCTGGTCAGAGTTTTTGAATCACAGGAGAACTTCCCAGGGTCACCTTAGCAATCTAGTCCTTTGGTACCTCTTGGGACCCTCCCTGCCAGCATGTCATCTCTACTTGATACTCAGGGCTTGGTGCTGATAGACCGAGGGTCTTATTACAATCCATCATTTCTCTCTCGCGCATCCCTAGACTGTGGTCAGTGTACATTTATCAGCGATGAAACCCCAGGCCCGTTTTCGCTTTGGGGAACTTCCTTGCTCACTGCCATGGAGAGAAGCAGATTTGTGATTAGAATCTGGAAGGTTTGGGGCTGTAGAGTTCTTGTGCTCACCCAATGGTAGTCAACAAAATGATTTTGGGGGTGTGATGTATGGTTTGTAAAGAACTTTTATGTTGTTTGACAACATTTGTGCCTCAGAGAGTCCCATGATGTAGACAGGGCAGAAATTATTCTGATTTTGTTTTACTTGAAAAAATGATGACTCAGAGAAAGAAGGATGAGGCTGATGAATTAGAAGGGCCCAGATGGATTTCTGAATAGCGACCGACCTTCCAGGGAGATCAGGAGCTCAGGACTATTGGCGACCAGGGAAGAGTGAGCCCCTTATTGTAGAATATACCAGAGACCTGTTCGGAGTAATGGATTGTGTGTGTATGTACTTCTTTCTGATTTCCACAGAAGTATAGGAATTATGAGAAATGAACCAGAAATAAATTTCCTTGACTGCTCAGCCATAGTGAGATGTGATCTCAGTTGTATCCAGTTGAAAAGCCATCTATTTCTGAAAGATATGCTTTTCTCATTAAATCCAAGAGAAGTCAAGGGCCCTTCTTCATTGCTTACCCCAACTCTATTCTTTTTCTCTTTTAAATATTTATTCATTTATGTGGCTGCCTTGGGTCCTAGTTGCATCGTGGGAGATCGCTCATTGTGGCTCACAGGTTGAGTCGGTTAGTTCTCCAGCCAGGGCTCGAACCTGCCTTGCGAGGTGGATTCTTAACCACTGGACTACCATGGCAGTGCCCTCACCTTGTCCTGGGCCCCAGCGTCTGGGAGATAGGTGCGTGCTCATCCTCCAGAGTAGTTTTTCTGCCTTCTCTGGTCTAGTAAGACTTCTCAGAAGGAGGCGGATTTGTTGTGTATTTAACAATAAGAGATACTAATCTATGAACATTCTCATCTTGTTTTGTTTTGTTTTGCCCATCGAGATACCAGGCATGCCCTAAGTTAGTTCCTGTCTCCTTATCTAGGTGTGTAGATAACTACCTATCTCAGTATCAGTGCTGGGACTAGTTATCTGGCTTTGTGTGGCTATCTGTGTAACTAGATATTATATTTAGATACCTGGCCCTGTATATCTAGATAGCAGCATGAAGAGCATGTGTCTAGGTGATATCTCGGGGGAGATTTGATGTGACAGTAGATTCCTATCGCCTCTGTAGGCTGCATCTTTATCTTGATTATAACTTTGAGGAAGAAACCCTGAGACGTTCTCTGAGCAGCAGAAACTTTGAGGTCCCCTGCCGTCACTCACTAGGTCTTTCTATGCGAGGGGCAGAGCTGGGGTCACCCCCCCCACCCCCCACCCAGTGGGTCTGCACTGCTGCCCAGGTGACCAGCTCAGCCCCTGGAGGCCGTGAGTTTGTTTCTCCCAGAAGTGTTATCAGCAGCCTGGCCCTCTTGACTTCTGGGTTCTCACTTCCTTCACTATCTCCTTCTAGCTTTTGGAGCAAACAGGCAGATCTTTGAGTCACGAAATCTTCTCTTCCTCCACCCTTGAGGACCCTGGAGGAAGAAGTGGTTTCTTCTCCAAGGAGTCAGGAGTGACTAAGACCCTGACCTTCCCGCCTTGCTTCTCTTTGCCGATTTCCCTGGAAATGGGACTGAATGTATGGTTGGTTTGCTGTGCAGGGCAGGTGGCTGCCGTGGAGGTTGATCTGATTCTGACTCCTTGAGGGGAATGATTAGTTTGCTTTGTCAAGTTCTCCCACCCCTGCCTTAAGCAAATGTGTATTCAAAACAAAACACCTGAGGCTTGTCAGGAAGAGAGTGATGCTATGCTGCCCTGAAGACAAAGAGCAGTGATCAGGAGAATAGGTGCTTGCCTTGGTCTTTTTCCTCAACTTCATGCTTGGGCTTTTTTTTCTTAATCTTTTGTTTACCCTGGAATTGTATTTGGTTTTTTTTTTTTTTTTTGGCCACTTGGAGTATGGGATGTTAGCTCCCTGCCCTGGGATCTAACTCTTGCCCCCAGAATTGGAAGCTCGGAATCCTGACCACTGGACTGCCAGGGAAATCCCTCGTGCCTAGGCTTTGCTTTTTAGGAGGAGAGTGCTTTCAGGCTAGCACAGGGCTTTGTACCTCCTAAGTGAATATTAAATTCTTGTGGATTGGTTGTTTCACTGCTCATCTAGTTAGAAGTGAGTCGTCAGGACCAGGTAGAAATTGCAACTTCATCATCACAGTTGCTGTGGCCAGGGCAAGAGGTTACATTTTTGCAAAGACGCATTATATTAAATTCTGACCCCAGAATGTACAAATTTCAGGGGAAGATTTTTTCCCCTGTATTTAAAATGACTTAAAAAATTTTTTTATGTCTAATGGGAGGATAATTGCTTTACCGTGTTGTGTTGGTTTCTGCCATGTAGTGCCATGAGTCAGCCATAAATATATACCTATGTCCCCTCCCTCTTGAACTGCCCTCCCACCTTCCATTCCATTCGGGGTGGACACAGAGCACTGACTTGGGTTCTGCAGCAACTTCCCACTAGCTGTCTATGTAGGGGGAGATTTTACAGCACCTCTTCTTTCAACAGGCCATTAGAAGAGAGGCAAGCAAAAATTACTTTGAAGCAGTCCGGGCTTCTCAAGGCAGAGAGACAAAGCCCTTAAGATCCATTGCCTAGTAGTGCCAAAGTTCTAAGTCAGATTTTGTACCAGTAGACCAGATATATTTCCCTCTTGAAAATCCCTCCCTTGCCTCTCTTCTCCTGAAATCGTGTAAGGTAATTCTAGGAAGAAGACAAGTTATTAGATTTTAGTGAAGCAGAGAAATACAGCCATCTTGGGTGGCTCAAGAATATGGTCCTTGGGGACAGAAAGTTCCCTGAGACCAACTTTCCCCCCAGTGATTGGTGCAAATGAACAAAACGAATAAGCCCTGCTTGGAACACCTTACCTGGGGCCTCTTGGTTTCTGAAATTGATAGAGGCTGAGACCCCCCCCCCCCCCATCGCAGAACCCTCACTTGCAGAACTCTGAGGTCTCTGGGAAGGAGTCAGGGGGTGTGGGGAGGAATGGGCCCCCTGAAAGCAGATCCCTGATCTGGGGTGGTCAGAGGAACCCGTGCCTGGGTGTGGAAGTCTGCCCTCTCTCAGAGCCAGCCAAAAAAAAAGTAAAAAAAAAAAAAATTGATCTCTGTTTAGATTAACAGACCCCTGACTATGAAGAAGGAAGGGATCCAGACCAGAAACCGAAAAATGTCTAGCAAATCCAAAAAGTGCAAAAAGGTGCACGATGCGCTGGAGGACTTCCCCAAGAGCAGCTCGTTCAACCCCGCCGCCCTCTCCAGACACATGTCTTCGCTCAGTCACATCTCGCCCTTCAGCCACTCCAGCCACATGCTCACCACGCCCACGCCGATGCACCCGCCGTCGAGCCTGTCCTTCGGACCTCATCACCCTTCCAGCATGGTCACCGCCATGGGCTAGGGCCCGCGCGAGCCGCGCTCACAGGCCTCCCAGCCAGAGTCCCTCCGGCCCCCTTCTACGTGCATTTTCGCAGGAGCAGTATCATGAAACCGAAACCCGATGGATCTGTGTCTTTTTGCAGGCATCAAGCAACCCAATGTTGTGGCCACTCGGACAACGCAGCCTACCGTGGTGTCTGTGTTCTCACTCCCCGAATCTGGATCCCATTTGTGAATAAGCCATTCAGACTCACATTCCCTATTGAACAGGGTCTCTCTAGTGCTGTGAAAAAAAAAAAAAGTCACCGAACATTGCATATAACTTATATTATAAGAAATTCTGTACATTGAAAGAAGACTTGATTGCCTCTCGGTTGCTGTCAGGAAGGCACGGAGGACGCCATGCCTTTTAAGGACGATGGGGGGAAAATAAAGAGTGGAGATTAAGAAGAAACTAGGTCAGATATCCAAATGGACAAACTGCCAGTTTTGTTTCCTTTTCCTGGTTACAGTCGTTTGATGCATTAAAAGAAAAAAAAAAGGAAAAAAAAAAAAAAGAAAAAATGTGTAGGCAAATCATTTGTTCAAAGCTGTGGGCCTCTGCGTAGGAAATTCTATTACTCCGGGCAACATATTCCACTCTCAGGTTGCCCTGGAGGGTTCAGCTAGACTTTCCTGGGCCTTCTTGCTTTGTGAACATGTCCCTGTAATTGTTGTTTGTATGTATAATTCAAAGCACCAAAATAAGAAGAGTTGTAGATTTATTTCATCATATTATACAGACTGAATTGTTGTATAAATTTATTTCCTGCTAGTGTTAAGTACTGCTTTTTTTTTTTTTTTGTTTCTATTTTAATATTTTCTTTCTCTCTCCATTTTTGGTTGAAAAAACTAGGTGACGTTCAGTTGACCTAAGGTGGTTGTGCTCCACGGGGCTGATGTTTTTTTTTTTCCATTTTGTTTCTCGATGATATTTATTAAATAGCTTCTAAGGGTACAAGAGCATATGTCCTTTGTCACTTCTTCCGCAGCCTGTGCTATGAGGGTAGCAGTGTATGAGCTACCCGCGTGCATGTCAGCGGCTCAGGCCCGCCAGCCCTGGGTCCTGAGAACAGCCTGGCTGAATGTTAGCGCCTGTTGTGTTCTGTGTTAGTGATCACTGCCTTTCATGCAGTCTGTTGGAATAATAATATAAAGAGATAATAAAGTTAAAATATTTAAGAAACAACCAAATAACATCGTATTGAGAGTGGTGGCCAAGCTCTTCTAGAACTTGGTAGCTCTAGCTAATCGAAGCAAAAGGAGTTTAAACAAAGTAACAGCCCAGCGGTGTTCAGTCACACCCTGGGAGAGAATGCAAACCCCAGACAGGAACATCGATGTGTTTGGGAAACTGGGCATCTTTGGAGCTCGCGATGCAGCCCAGAGGAAGGCATCCCCGGGGCTGGAGGAAGTTCTGTGGTCCGCTCTGAGTTGCTCTTCCCCTGCTCCTGGTCTGGCCTCGAGGAGATCTTCTCGCCAGAGAAATGGGAGGGTTTCCTTGTTGAGATTCTCAAGCGTGCGGGTGGCAGTTGAGAATTCCTCATGGTTCTCTGCAAGATGGAAAGGAGCTGGGCTGGGTCTTGAGTTTATGTCTGTTTTGCTTTTCTACTGTTGAATCACACCACAGTGAAGGGTGGATTGGAATGTTTGCGAAACATGAAATAACCGTTTTGTAACTTACGCTGTATAGTTTCCTTTGACTTTGTTGACAGAATGTGTAACCCTGGCACACATTTGAAAAATCTCTGTTAATTGCCTCTCTGCTTTCTTAGCAAATATTTCAAAGCTGAAGCTCAATGTTGAAATAAAGAAGTAGAGAATTACTGACATGCACGTGAGGCTCTGCCTGGCTCCTAATTCGGACGTGGTTTCTGGGGACTCCTGAAGCACCCAAGGCCACGGGCCGTGGCCGTCTGTTGCCGTCATAAACTTGGGAGCAGTTGCTGGAGAGTTCCCGTGTCTCAGGGTTTGCCACTTTTCCCCTCCGTACAGATGTGAGCTGATGCCCTTTCACCTTAAGAACAGGGAGTTCAAATTCTTGACATTCTTGGGGGTGGGAGAAGGGCAGGCGGGAGTGGGGGGCACACATAGAAAATTCCCAAACTCAACAATCAAGTTACATTTTGTCTTAGGTGCTGAAGCCATAAAGGCACATTGGATCCTATACCTTCTTCAGAGAAACGTCATTTTATCATTCAATACCTGGATTTAACATTCTAAGATATTTCGGGAAGATGATGCAGAAGATTTAAAAAAAACTATATATTCTCCAGTTTCTTGATCAGAATGTTATCATAGGTTTTCATAGGTTTCAATCATTTTGTTCTTTCTTTTTTTTTTCTTCCCTTAAAAAAGACACACTAGAACAGTGACCCTGAGAGGGGGTTTCCTTTAGAAAAACAGAACAAGGTTGTGGATCTAAAATGCTGCTCCAATATTATTGAGTAAATTGTGCCCCTAATTAATTTTCCATCTGTCTATCCCTCTCTTTTGAAGTAGTTGCTCTTAGCTCATCCATGGGAATATATGAGCACATTTGGATTATTTCTTGAAAACATTTTCAGAGCCAACACAATACAAAAAAGAAACTGCATAGTTATTGAAAGCTTTTGCTATGTATGAACTCTTTAAACTCTGGACGTTCATGATGTAAACAGTTTGAATCGAAGTACTTCTTTCATTGATTCAGCAAATACCTATTGAAGATCTAGGTTGAAGTCCATTTAAGAGCAACTTAAAAAAAAAAAGCAGTGTAGGAAATAGAGAAACCAAGGCTCCAGTGTCAGTCTTACGACATTTACAGGTTATTCCCCTTTGAAAGGAACGACGTCAGCTGTGGCAAGGTTCCTGTGTTGGTCGCCAGGCAGGTAGAAGCTGTGATACAGTGGGGACACCCAGAGTCTGCCTGCTGAGAGCAGTGTCTGTTTTCTAAACCTTTGATATTAGAATTATTTTTAGTTTAAAAATATTTTTAAAGCGAACTCCTCATCAGGGGTTCATTTTAGGATTTCTTAACTCTAGAAACAGTTTAAAAGCAGCCAATTCTCCCCAGGTAGTAATGGACATCAAACCCAAGTTCAGGAAAACACCTGTTCCTTACACTGAAACTCAGAAACACTCAGTGCCATCCATTACTGGCTGTGACATCTTCCTCACAGTGGTGAACTGTCCCGTTTACCTTCCAAAGATTTAGAAGCATCACGACTCCACATTCTCCTGCATTCCATCCTCCGTCCTTGATCCCGAATCCATCCCCAAATCCTCGAACCATTTTTGTGATCCTTCCCAGACAAGCAGGCATTACTAATCCCCCTTCCATTTCCAAGCTGAGCAGAGATTAAAGTCATTTTTTTTTTAATTAAAAATGTTAAAATCATGGAAAGGTGCAAAGAAAACATCTGCACGAGAGCATTTTGTGTTAGAGTTTTATCTGGAGAGCAGAAATGTTAACCAAGATCCAGAATAGCTGAGTAATAATACACCAACCCCTTCCTGCACTTTCAGATGAAATGAGCTTCTGAAAAGCATTTTCATTTTCGCTTATTCCAGCTTACTCAACCAGTGTGAACACACCCTCAGATTGGGACTTGTCTGCTCTTCTTTGCAAAAACCCAGTAAAAGGAAAACCTCAGAATTCAGAGAAATTCATTGATCATTTGAGACATGTGACCACCACAGTCTTAGGAGTCTGGGAACTTGGGTTTCATTCCTGGCTGTGCCACTAACAATCAGGGTGACCTGAGGCTATTTGCTTGATTTCTTTGAAGCTGGGTTGTTTGTCTGCATCATTAGGAGAGATGCTAAGACTCATATGAGAAGAAAAATGCCATGATTCCATTGGATTTTTAAAAATATTTTGGAGAACATCCTTTACTAGGAAAGATGTAGTTATACCCCCAGTTAAAGTCTTGAGCAGACTATCCTACGAGCCTGTAGCAGTGGTGGTTTATAAAAGTCCAGTTGGGTTGGGGGTCATTCCACTCCCATCTGTCCTTACTACTATCTCGTGAAACACAAATTAACTTGTATTTCGTGACTGTCACTCTGGGACAGGAGTTAGTGTCCCAGCCTGCAGATTCCCGGCTCTTTCTGAAATGTGTTCTGGCCCCTCTTGAGCGGAATACACAGGACTTGCTTGTCCAGCTGATGTTGGCAGCATGGTTCAGATTTCAGTCAATCCATTGTGTAAAGAAATTCTGCCTGAATAGCTTACAGCCTATTCTAGGGAGATAGCCAGCGCCTAGCCTTTTTTTCCTTGTGCTCTCTCTCCATCTCTCTCTCTCTCTTTGGAGAAGAGGATCAGCAGAGGAAATAGGTCAATATTCCCCCAGAGCTGCTCCTTTTGGGGTGCTCCATCCGGATTCTGCTTTCTCTGAGCTGTTCCTCCCTCACCCTTGACCTTCTTTGCAGGGGATCCTGGTACATTAGCCACATTGTTTGGGGTGTGTTTTCACAATCCCCTGTCATGTCTGTGTGCACAGTTCGGAGTGGGGATTTGGAGAGCAGCCCCCTCCCCCCTGCCCTCCCGCACCCGGCCCCACCCCCTCGGTCTCAGGCTAAACAAAAGACATGCAGTAGGGAGCCCTGGGCTGCGCTGCCTGCCAGAGGCCTGCACCCACCTCGAGGGAGCTGCAGGTTCTGAACGGAGCGGCTCTGTGCCCGGCCTTGTACAGTTTAGGAAGGTGGCGTGAAGACACACGGGGCAGCCGGCTCCTGGCCCCGGCTCCTATTTCAGCGTTGTCTTGAAGGGGACCCCACTGCAGAAGGATGGTCTCAACTCCATGCCAAACTACCAGGTTGTTGTTTAGTTGCTCAGTCGTGTCTGACTCTTTGTGATCCCATGGAGTGCAGACCGCCCAGCTCCTCTGTCCATGAGATTCTCCAGGCCAGGATACTGGAGTGGGTTGCCATTTCCTTCTCCCGGGGATCTTCGCGACCCAGGGATCGAACCTGTGTCTCCTGCATTGACATGTGGCTTCTTTCCCACTGAGTCAACAGGGAAGCCCGAACTACTACCCCCTTTAAGAAATCAGCCAATTCGACTTGACTTTTTTTTTGGAGGGGAGAGGACAGCGTGCATAAGGAAATTCCAGAAAATGAAAGTTGTTTTTTTTCCCCTGACTACAGAATTGACCAGACTTGTAAAATACCCCTCAAATTTTTTGAATTAATTAAAAAATTTTTTTTCTCCCCATTTTTTTTTTTTTAAAGCAGAAGACACAGGATTTGGGATGCGGCTGAATGGGCCATGTGTGGTCTGGTCTTTTTAGGTATTTTTTTCTTTGGCATGGGCCAATTTTAAAGTCTTTTTAAAATTTGTTACAATATTACTTGTGTTTTATGTTTTGGTTTTTTGGCCTTGAGGCATGTAGGATCTTAGCTTCCAGACCAGGAATAGAACATGAGCCTCCTGCATTGGAAGGCGAAGTCTTAACCCCTGGATTGTCAGGGAAGTCTGTGATCTGGTCTTTTGAATAGTTGGTCAGGAATCTATGTTGGAATCCAATGGACTGGGAGATGGGGCTGGATGGGGAGGGGGCGTGGGTAGAACCTGTGCTTTTTGAGGGTCATTACAACTCCAGCCCATAAATTGGGAGGGGTTGTTTAGTAAAATCCACCTGGTTAATGCAGCCAACTCCCTCCTCCCTGGAGGGCCCAGAGCAGACCTGTCTTCTATGAACTTGAGAGCTGAGTGCACGAAGCCCTCTGCCCTTCTCCTGGAACATTTCAGGGCTTCTTGGTGGCCTCAAGCTTAGCCTCCTCCAGGGAATTCCTCATACCCCGTTGTCAACCCATGACATTCACGCTTCTAAAGACCCCAGGATCCCTGACAGTGGCCTGGAAACATGGGGGCCTTCTAGACTGACAGGGGGCAGGTCACTGGTCCCCTCTGGCCCTCGTGGCTCATGTAGACTGGATGATAAGAGGACTGAGAGTGACAGCGTGGCCTGGAGGCTGCCATACTATACATGTGGGATCTCCAACAATGCTTAGGACCCACCAACTGCAGAGAGAAGATAGCCCAACTGTGGTGAAGTCAACCCTCCTCTTAAGAGCTTTGCAGCCTCTTTGGAGAGCTGAGATGTGCCTGAGAACCATTACATTGGTTCACTGGTGGAGCAGGTTCTAAGGCTCAATTCTCTGCCTGTAACTAGGAGAAGAGAGGACTTCCTGTGTTAATTGGATCAGGGAGCCTACAGCTGCCTCTCAGGCTCCTGCCCTGTGATGGGTGGTGGCCTGAAGGCCTGGAACTCAGAGCTTAATTCCCTGCACCCCCGATTCCATCCGAGGTTGATTATCCAGTCTGGGGATCAATCAGGCCCTTTCTGCAACATTTCTTTAGAGGTTGAAGAGCCAGCTTGTTCCTCAGTCTGCCCACTGGAAAATGGGGAAAGAGAAGCTAAAACACCTCTCCCAGCCTGCCTGACACATCACCAGCAGCTCTGATGAAGGTACCAGTTTTCAGAGTCTAAGGTGAGGGCTGGGGATTAGGTGTCTGCTTTCTATTACCACAGATAGAAGAGCTGGCAGGATGTTCACCCTCAGAGCCAGCTGGCTGGACTGAGGTGAAAGGAGAGGAGGAAAGAAAGAGGCATGTATCAATCCACTTTTTCC